GTGTCGGGTCCTGACCTGGTGTAGTCCATGATGGTCTTCAGGCGATGCGCTATGGTCAGAACCGTGCAGTCCTCAAACTGTGAGCGGATGGTGGACTGGATCAGGTTGTCCGTCTCCATGTCTACGGCAGCGGTGGCCTCGTCCAACACCAGGACTTTGGTCTTCCTCAGCAGAGCTCTGGCGAGGCACAGCAGCTGCCTCTGACCCACACTGCAGGAACACACAGAAACCTGAATCACACCCCTTTACTCTGACAGCCCTGAATGAAATCCAGCCCCCCCTGCTGCTTTCAGACAGATAATAATTTGGAGTTTGGAACGTTTTTTTTGGAGTTTTAGGATCACAGAAGTTATCCTCTAATGACAAATACTACTTCAGATACTAAGAGAAAAGCTGCAACAAGGAGGCGGCTAAAACTAGAAGGACCTACAGTGGATGGATGGTTGGACATTATTTAGAACATCTTTAAGACGGAAAGAATTACTTTAGCTTTAAGGCTAAACAGGGATGTTTGTAAAGAGATGGATCAATATGTCCCTCTGATCAGTCCATCCTCTGTAGAGCTCCGCTATCAATTTCTCCTTCTTCCTCTTTTTTCTGGGTCTTTCCTTTTCAACCCTTTTCATCAGTAAATTAGTTACTTATTTTCCCATTTATAACAGACATACATTTATGATCTAAGCCAAAGGAGAGATTTTCATAATCTTTGTTATTATTTTCTGTGTGATGGAGGGAGAACCAACCATCTCTATCTGAACATCCTGTGGAACTGGCTCTGCTGCTGTAATGAACAGATAACTGGAGATAACGGTTGTATTGATTAACAATGAAAATATCAACAAATATAGAATTGAAGAGGCAGGACAGGAAGCAGTGGCGGGAGACCCACTCTGGTCCAGAGAGACGAGAATGGAAAGAAAAGCTGCAGTCAGAAGGTCATTATGGTTGAAGGTCAGCAGGAAGTCTACTTTCTCTTTAGTTTCAGTTCCAGTGGAAAAAAATCTCATCTGAATCATTTAATGAGAGAAAACAGGACGTCCACTGAGCTGCTGTTTGTCAGACAGCAATGGCAGCAACACTGGGTGGGTCTATTCTATGGGCTTTATTTCTCTGGGATTCATACCTGAGGTTTTCTCCTCCCTCGCTGCACTCATGGCCCAGTTTGTTGGTCAGGCCTGAGACAAAGTTCTTGAGGTGGGAGAACTCCAATGCCCTCCAGATTTCCTCATCAGAGTAGGAGTCAAAAGGATCCAGGTTCATCCTCAGAGAGCCGGAGAACAGCACGGGGTCCTGGAAGATGAGCAGTGTGTCAGAATAGCCACTAGGCTGCCAAACACTTTCACTAAATCCCTCCCTCTGCTTTACGGCCGTGGTAAAGGCCTGACCTTTGACCTATAAGAACCTGCTGCTGAGGGTGGCTACATGTGGGAGCAGCTCTGATACTCAGATCCTTTTAAAACAACTTCAGGTTCCTTGTGAATCAAAGTTAGCTTCTGATCTTTTTCTTACCTCTGGTTTTAGGTCGCATGCAGCTGAAAAGATTTTTGTTAATATTTTGTGATTTTTGGACACCTGTTAGCAACCATATCTTACACCCGGCAGCGGCTCATTTCCATTTAGAAAGGTCAAATAATCCGCAGTCCCAGCTGAGATGGAAAGGAGGTCGTGGAGATGCAGAGCAGGAGAAAGGAGAAGAGACAAAAGCCATCTCTTCCATCACTATGAAATAAGTTAGCGCTCCCTAGCAGGAGCTAGCGCTCCTAGCTCCCTAGAAGCCTAGCTAGGATCCAGCTGGAGAATTGCAGCATTATGGGTTTAACTGAAACATGGCTGCAGGATCATATCTCAGACTCCAGTGTCTCTTTGCCAGGCTTTCTGACCAAACCAGCAGACAGAGATTTAAAGAAGACTGGGAGAAGATCCCCAGCACCATGCAGCGCTCCTGCGTTGATCTCTGCTGGCCGTGCAGCCACAACAGGCCACTTTGCTTCAGTGGGATTCTCTTCACTGACCTGTGGGATGATGGTGATTCTGGAGCGAAGCTCGTGGAGGCCTAGCTTAGCGATGTCCACTCCATCAATGAAGATTTGTCCTTCCGCTGCCTCGATGATCCGGAACAGGCCCAAGGTTAGGGAGGACTTCCCTGCTCCAGTCCTGCCAACAATCCCCACCTGATGAGGAGCAGCAGCACATCCATGGTGACCAGAGGTGATCTCAGGTCACCGTGAGGATAGAGCAGCAGGACCAACCTTCTCTCCTCCGTTAATGGTGATGGTGATGTCGCGAATGGCCAGGTCCAGGTCATGGCGATAGCGCAGACCAAAACCTTGAATGTCGATGCAGCCCTGGGTGGGCCAGCCAGGGGGTACGGTGGGCGGCTGGTGATGCCACTGGGCCTGAGGGGCAGAGAACACACCTGAATACCAGTAAATATATTTCACTTCATTTCTGTCCATAGAGTCAAGGAAGCAATTAACCAACCAACAGTGAAAATGACTATAGCCAACAAGAACAATACAGGTAGACTAATCTGATCATCTATAATGTCTGAGACGTTCAACCGTGCCATACCTAGTTCTATAATTTAAAGATCTAGATTCCTGCACAGGACATGCAAGCACTTTCACTGCTTTCATTCCATGAAGAGCAGAAGATCTCTGGACGCCTGCAGAAGTCCTGCTGATCTGGTGCCTCCCTGGTAGCTCATGTGGTAAACATGAACTATTCGCTCCCATTTTCCTGCTGCTCCTGCACCTCCCTGCCTCCTCCTGCTTTGCTGTGTCTTGTCTTTTCTAAGCTCTCCCTTCATTTCACCCGAACTCAAAAAAGGGATCTGGTCAGCTGGTCTCAATGCAATGGATCAAACTATCTCAACTGGAAGACAGGGTAAAGGGGACCCGTCCCGTCCTGCCGGGACAACTTGATGGGAAACACCATGGACTCCTGGAAGGCTTGGAGGATGGTGTGTTTCTCAATGCTGCCACTGGAGGATATCGAAGATGTGTGGATTTTTGATTTTATGATACTCGAATTTCTCTTGTTTGGATTTGGAGGATATCTGATGGATCTACAATTACAGAGGATGTCTGCTGCAGTTTGGGCATTGATCAGGCTGCCAGCAGCGGTTCACGCCCTCACTAAGGCGGTGAACGAGCAGGATCAGGAGATGAGCCGTATGCTGGGTGTGACTGAACGCAGGCTGGCGGTTAGGGTTAGGGTTAAAGAGCCAGCAAGACAAAGACTCGAGGCTGAAGGAAACTCCTGTGCAGCCTGGTCTCAAAACAATAAGTGTTATTCTAGAATCAACCCCC